TCTCATGGTTTCAAAGATTACAAATATGAATAGGTGTACAGACAAAAGTCTATTTCCTTTTTACCATATCTCCAGTCTTTCCAGCTCTAGTCTAAGCTAAAGCAGTAATTACTATTGTTTGTTTTATATGCATCTTTATGGACATACATGCAAATTCAGACTTTTAAAATTTTTTTCCACTTGGCAACGATCACTGCTCTTTATAAAAGAGAAGAATGGGCACCATATAGCAGTCAGAGATCTTTGGAAATTTTTCATTTGATCTGGGCAAATACTGCCAGCCTATTGTCCTGAAGGTAGGAAAATTGCCTTGAATTAGGTCCTGGTTCTGCTCTTTGGATATAGCTTCCTCGTTTTTGTGCACCATGGATCTCGGCTCTCTTTAAGAATATTTCATTTTCCTTCTTCTTCCTCTTCCTCCTCTTCCTTCCTCCTCCTCCTCTCTGAGACAGAGTCTGACTCTGTTGCCCAGAGATCCCACCACCCACTGCAACCTCTGCCTCCCAGTTTCAAGCAATACTCCTGCCTCAGCCTCCTGAGTAGCTGGGATTACAGGCATGCGCCACCATGCCTGGCTAATTTTTGTATTTTTAGTAGAGATGAGGTTTTACCATGTTGGCCGGGCTTGTCCCAAACTCCTGACCTCAGGTGATCTGCCCACCTCGACCTCCCAAAGTGCTGGGATTACAGGTGTGAGCCGCTGCACCCAGCCCATTCTTCTTAATTATGTAAAGAAAGCATTGGAAAGTATCCACTCGTTGCTCTCTGAGCAGCTCTCTCAATCTGCTTCCTGCCAATAGCCAATTGGGAGCTCAGAGATCTTTCATATATCTCATACAGTTGAAGTCACTTTGCAAATATAGCTCTCTCAAAACCATTTTACTTTTTCAGTATGTTTGATTCCAGTCAGCCCCATATGCCAATTGTATGCATAGATTCACATATATTTTATGAGTACAATGATATTTCTGTGTTGTCTTCATTTAGTAACAGTGGTACTTCTTCCTTTCCAAAATAATATAATTTTAAAATATTATTATTTTTTGGCTGGTATGTCCAATAGTGTCAAATAATAGTGACAGTAGTGGGCTTTTGCCTTATTTCTGGTTTTGTTGGTAATGATTCTAGTGTTACCCCATTAAGCACAATAGGAAATTGTGGGCCAATCCAGATAATTTCATACAAAGAATGTAGGTATGTATAGAGATATGAAATAGCATGGCATCTTTTGCTAGAGCTGAATGTTTGAATGGGATACTAATGGTAGATTAAGCCAGATTATGAAAGGCCTCTTTACACATTTAATGGTATGTATTCTGATATTAACTTTTTCTATGCATATTAGACTTGCGATAGATATATGATTAACACTTTTCTATTTTTACATATGTGTTTTGTGTATGTATCTCTAATAATTTGCTAACAAATTTACTTTCTTGTTAATCCCCTTTTTTCTTTTCTTTCTTGCTTCATTTTTTTTTTTTTTTTGAGACAGAGTCTCACTCTGACGTGAAGGCTGGAGTACAGTAGCAGGATCTTGACTCACTGCAACCTCCATCTCCTGGGTTCAAATGATTCTCCTGCCTCAGCCTCCGAAGTAGCTGGGATTACAGCAACCAGCCACCATGCTCGGCTAATTTTTTGTATTTTTAGTAGAGACCAGGTTTCACCATGTTGGCCAGGCAGGTCTTGAAATCCTGACCTCAGATGAGCCACCCACCTCAGCCTCCCAAAGTTCTGGGATTACAGGGGTGAACCACCATGCTGGGAGAGTCCCTTTTTTCTTAAGGATTTTATTCTGCAATGAGTCAGGAGGATTAAATGACCATGATAGTTTTGAATGTCCTCACTCTTTATAATCTTTTAACTTTGTTTCCAAGTTTTACATTGGTGGCTTTAATTCTTTTGGTTTATTGGGCTATAGGCCAGTATTGTATCCCAGGATTATACTTTTTATAGGTAGAAGTGATCTGAGAGACCAGAAAGCTATGCAAGTGCTGTCCATGGTGGGAAGGGGGCAGAGGTAAGAAGGAATGAATGGCAGGATTGAATGGTGTGTTTGAGAGAAAATATGGAGTTTGGTTACATCTCCTTTCTTCCCAGCCAGTGGTCATCCTTTGTTCCAGCAAAATGGCCACCATGCACTGAATTGTGTCCCCTCCAAATTTGTACATTGAAGCTCTAACCCCTAATGTGATGGCACTTGGAGAGAACTTTGGGAAGTAATTAGGTTCAGTTGAGTTGGTGAGGGTGGGGCCCTCATAATGGGATTTGTGTCCTTGTCCGAAGAGACATCAGTGCTCTTGGGCTCTCGCCCTCTCCCTCCCTCCCTCCCCCACCTGCCTCCCTCCCTCCTCTCTGAGATGAAATGAAGAAAGCCCTCCCAGGAACCCAATCATGCTGATGACACCTGATCTCAAACTTTTATCCTTCCAAACTGTGAGAAACAAATTCCTACTTATAAACCCACCCTGTCTATGTTTTTTTGTTATGGCAGCTTGAGCTAAGACATTTGATTTCATGTATGGAAGCCTCTGCTAATTGTTATGTCTTTTTAAAGCAGTAAAAAGATTGTAGTTATCACCGTGATAGGGATTCTAATGAGAAATTGGAAATACTCGGAAAACATTTTTTTTCTGTATTTTCTTTAAATCTGCATATGTGTTTTAAAAATGCATATCAGAAAGGATACAGAAGTATAATAAATATGAATTTATAAAATGTAATGAAAATATTTTATTGTTTCAATTCAGAAATTATTTAACATTTGAGTAAATTCTTGGGAATTCATGATTTTTTGTGAATGAAGATTAAGGAAGTACAAAATAAAGAAAGCATTTTTATTTTATTTAATTTTTTTTAGAAACAAGGTCTTACACTCTTGCCCAGGCTAGCCATTGTAGTTCATTGTAACCTCAAATTCCTGGGTTCAAGTGATCCTCCTGCCTTGTCTTCTCAAAGCAGGCTGTACTATGCCTGGGATCAAAGGAATGAGCCACTGGACTCAGACTTCAGAGCTATTTCTTAAGACTGAGAATTTTGATTTGCCTGTTTAACGTTAATATGTGTTGCAGAATGGGTTGAGTTGGAATATATATATTATCAGAAGAGCTGACTTTGGGTTAACACCTATAATTGTGGTTTTTAATCTTTCTTTCAGTCCTATCCCACTCAAGAGAGATGATACTCTTATTAATAATGGTAGCTAAAGATGCTTTTTATGGTTTATGTCATTTAGTTTTTGCTATTCGTTGTGACAAGTTTTATCGTTTTCATTTTGCAATGAGGAAACTAAGTTAGAAAAGGTAAATACCTTTTTCAAGTGTATAGAACTAGATTGTGGCAAAATTACATTTATTCAAATTTCATATGGTTAGTCTTTTTGTCCCCACCCAAATCTCATCTTGAATTGTAATCCCCATAATCCCCACCTGTCAAAGGAGAGACCAGGTGGAGGTAACTGGATCATGGGAGTGGCGGTTTCCCTCATGCTGTTCTTGTGATAGTGAGTGAATTCTCAGGAGTTCTGATGGGTTTATAAGTGTTTGGTACTTCCTCCTGCATTCATTCTCCTTTCTCTGCCTTGTGAAGAAAGTGCCTTGCTTCCCCTTCATCTTCTGCCATGATTTTAAGTTTCCTGAGGCCTTTCAGCCATGCTGAGCTGAGTCAATTAAACCTCTTTTCTTTACAAATTACCCAATCTCAATGGCATTTCTTTATAGCTGTGTTGGACAACAAACTAATATAATATTTTTGAGCGCTGAATTAAGATTTTATGAGTATTTGGCTAATGAATGTCCCCATTTGGTGAGAAATCTGGTCAAATTAATATCCAGCAAAGTTTTTTTCCCTTGATATTAACTTTGATTAATTGAAATAACAAATATACTCTTTAATAAAAAATTTTTGAGCCACCTCTGCTTTGTCCTTAACCCGTATATAGCTTGGCTTTTGAATAATCCAGTTCTGAATATTGCCAAGTAATTTTATAGAGTACGCCACACTGTACTTTGTTGAAACAGGACACATTTCCTCTTCCCAAAACTATTAGAAATTCTTTCCTTATAACACTTATTGTATAAAATCATAAATTGAGGAGTTCATCCTTGACTTTAATAAATGCTTAAGAGATTTAATCAAATTTAAGATGCTTACCCGATACATAATAGTTAGAACTTCTATTCAAAATATCTACTTCTCCATAAACTGTAAATGTCTGTAATTTCACTTGCTAATAGTTTTCCCAAATATGAATCTGCAAGGGTAGCTCTTTGTTTTTGCAATTTCTAAGTGGTAACTTTGTGCATAGGTCCATTGTGTAGGCAGAGGTTTTAAGCCCATAGCCTGCTGTGTTTATTGACTCATTTCTTAGTAATTCCATATCGGGCAATCACACAATTCATGAATGGTCTGGGAGGGAAGAAACATACGCATTACTATCAGCGGGAGACTCAAGTAGCCATGCATTTAGAGGCTCCACTAAGAATTTTAGCTTTGTCTGTGTTACGTAGAATGATTGCGAAGCACTGCAGTGAGACTTTTAAACAAATAAAAATTATAGCTTTCTTATTCTAAAATATAAATGTTTCTTTAAAGAATCATTTTGGTATTTGCCTCAGGTTGTTTTTTCCTTCAGTTTCAATAGGATGTGAAATTTTCTGAGTCCAAATTAGCCAAGCAGTATTCAGTAATGTTCCGTCTTTGCTCTCAAATGCGCTCTTTCTATTTCGTGACTCTGCTGAGTGTCTGGACTTCTGCTATATATTATAGGCCAGGCGATATTCAGCTATTCCAATGTCACCTCTGCTCCATCTACTGGAATAATTATATTTACTGTTTACACTCTTTAGCAAAATCATTATTTTTATAATGGCTTTAAAAATTTTCTGCAAAGCATGGTGCCAAATAGTACTGTTATTTAGTTAAATTGAGAAATCTCAGAGCAGAATTAAGATGAAACTATTAAATTAATCTTACCCAGTTTGCCTAATTGTATGCAGCCTGCACAGATTTCTGTCATGGAGAGATAGAGATCTGCTTTGCACTGAGGGAGAAGCGGCACATAAGGTCAGAGAAGTAGGTGAATTTTGAAATAAAGCTGGTACGCTGTAAAGCTCTGCAGCGTTGGATATGCTCCGATTCCTGATCTCACAGCTGCAGTGAGGTATTTATTCTCATACATGCTCTGGCTCCTCATGTCTTCCTGCCTTTGCACATGTTCTTCTTTCTTCTTAGATCCCCCTTCTCAGCTGTCCACACTTGGAAAACTTTTGTCTCCATTTTTTAAGATCTTTATCAGTTTCTTTTACATACTTCCTGACACCTATATACAAAAAAAAAAAAAGAGCTCACATTTTGGTATCTCTATAATTCCTCCAGTTTATTTATGTTTTAGCATTAATGACAAAATAATTGTCAGTATGCAGTACACGTATCTGCCTTTCCTTCTAGACTCTAAACTCCTTGAATGCAACAGAATTTGTGGTGGTGGTTATTGTTGTTAAATACCATCAACTGCCTTTGCAAAGGAGAAGTCGCAATATTTGAAGATCTGTTTGCTTGCAAAGTTCTTGGACTTGAGTACTTAAGTCCAGAGAAGGTAAGACAAAGCACCTTTTTTCTGCATAAAAAAAAAATTTGTGAACGATTTTAGGTAGGTGGTAGCAGTGAGACCAAGTACAGGGATATCATGACTGAGGTAGCCAGTGAGCAAGGCGGGGGCATAATTGAGGGGAGGAGGTGTTGAAGTGAAGGAGTACTCTGGTTAGATGCTCAGCCAGAGACTTGAACCACTAAATAGGACTTAGAAGCATTGGAAAACAAAAAGAGATGCTTTGGTTTCCCTCAAGGTTGGCCTGAGAGGAAAGTAGAGAAAACATTTCTAGTGATAGCTAGACATCTAGTTAGGAGCAAAACCTTAGGACTTTTAAAATACCTGGGACATAATGATACTTAGTGAATGAACCAATAAAGGTATGAATGATGGCTTCTTAGCAAAGTACAGGAATAGTCTGTAAAGTAGTTTATTTTAACTTTTTTTTCCCCCAGAAATTGAAAAGCCACTAAAAGTATCAAGGGAGGGAAAAGGCTCATATGAGCCTGGAGCATTACCAACAGTTTTCTTTGCAGCTGCAGGAGGCGGAGAACTGCAGGTCATGAGTGCCCATCCCTTGCCTTAAGACCTCAACAACATAACCAGAAGAACCAGCAAAACCCCTGTCCTGGCTCCCTTCAGTACTTAAAAAGAGAAAACCATAGCATTGCCCTTCCACATCTTACAGTGTTTTTCCTTTCTAGTTAAAACACACATTACCTCAAGGTGTGATGTAGTTCACTTTTCCAAGGAGGCAGCACGATTTACTGGAAGGAGCGTATGCTTGGATCCCTGTGCCAACGTTTTCTCACCTTCATTGATTACCTTCAGAGTAAACAATGAAATAACATATAAAACTAGCATAGAGTCAAATAAATAGTAAATCCTCAGGATTATTCTCTTTCCTCCCCTAAATGTCATTGTACCCTTAGAATATGAAGTCATAAGCAATTTTCCCAAGAGTAAATATTGATAGAGTGGGTAAAGTATATGTAGTAGAAGTGTTTGGGGATAGCATCCTGAACAGAGGATGAGTGCTTGTGAAAGGGAAACCTCAGACTTAGAAGGCATTTTCCTCCTTTCCAATTTTGCCTTAGGCTTGCCTATGGAGTAGGCTTTGCTTTGCAAGCAGCTGTAGGATAGCAGAAGAAGCCTATCCAGGAATGAAGCTTTGTGCTTTCCCCGTCCCCTGTTAAACGACGGAGATGTTTCTAGTTTGTTGAGCTTAACGATCTTGTAATATGGATGAATGTTCTCTGTCTAGGATGGAATCACAACTTATTTTCACTGGATCATGAGAAAGCATATACTTTTTCATACTGCTGCATCCCTAGTTTAAAAAACAAAATTTAAACAGTTTACAATGAGATTAATTACTTCATTCCTACTGGGCCTTATCCTGTTTTTTTAAACGTGTAAAATCATTATGTCTATAACTTTTAACAAAAATATGTGTATGCAAATAATTATGCCAGCAAACATTCTATCTAGTTATGATCAAAGTAGTTTCATCTACATATTTTTTTTCTTTTGTTGGTAGAAAGCATAAGATTTGTTTCTCCAGAAATTTAAAATTAACTAGAAAAAAATTGTTTTGCATTTATGCTACCAAAATTATTTGTGTATTTTGGCAGCTGGAATTAGTCTACTACTTGCCTTATTTTATAATGGCTGCACTGAATGCTGTGTTGTTAATTTGCATTCAGACACTTTGTCTGGAGTGATTCAGATGTTTTAAATGGATTTGTTTTTAGATAGGAATAAAAAACCATGTATTCTCTTCGCAATTTACATGAAAGACACAGATACAAATTTGTTTGCCTATGCAAACTCTATGCTTGCTTTTTAAAAGATAAAATTCTCATTTCCCACCTAGATTGATTTGAACATGGTGTATTGCTTTATTAATTGGTAAAAATGCAGATCTAAAGATGCTTGTGTTTCCTGCTTAAGGCAATTTTGTTAGCTCTTGCAAAAGAGAAGTATATAAAATGTAGAAGCAGGAATTATTTGTATTATACACTTTGATAGATTAGAGTTTCATTAAAGATTAGTTTTCAATTAAAATAAGTTTTTATCTTCAATGAATAGATCTGTCAGAAGCTTAGAAGTAGTGCCAAACCAAATCTAGTAACATGTTTCTTCTCTGATACTATGAAATAGAATGCAAATCACATTTTTTTGGCTAATGTTTCACAGTACATAGAACATTCACGTGGATCTTATTTAAGCTTTCTAGTTTCCTGTAGATAAAGCAGGCAATAATTTTATTCCCATTTTGTATATGCAAGGAAACCAGTTGTCTGAAGTTTGAAGCAGTAGAAAATAGTGGAAAAGCTGCAATGGGTACCCATAGGCCTAGTCATTCAGATGTCTCCTCTTATCTCCATGCTGGTGAAGACTATTTATGGCACCACACTGCCATCATTCCTCTACTTGTTTGCAAAGAAGCCTTCCCACCAAGGAGGAGTGATAGTAATTTTGCAGTAAAATATGAAAAGCCGATTGAGCTTCTTAACTTAATGGTAAATTTTCCAGGTCATCCAATATATAATAGAATACATTGGCTGGATTTGCACACACAAAGGAACCATTCATTCATTCATTCATTCATTCAACAGAACACTTCAGTAGGGACTGTGGACAATCCAGATAAGTAAGCCCTAGATTTAGTGAGATTCTTTGATTTGCTTTTAGATTTATTCATGGTAGAGAATTTAATTACTGATGTGTGATAGTATCACTGAGAGCCGGCAGCAGGATTTGTCAGGAAGGCAGATCTACTGGATGGGCACAGAGTGGCCTGTGCTAGGCTCTTGCTGTCCTTGTTGCTGCTTTCTTTGTTCATAGGTTAAGTTTATAATTCGGCCATTTATAATGTTTTTGGCTGTGACTTGAAGTTGGTGATGTAATGAACATTAGCATTCATTTATGTCTGAAAAGAAATTGTCTTTGTCATAGCTAGTTATTAAACAAACCACTTGTTTTGAATTCAGTTCAATCACCTTAGTTGTTTTTTAAAATTTACTTCCAACTTTCATTCTTTGTGATTGTCTGAGTCAAGTAAATGGGAGACAAAGAGAAAAGAAATTGTCTCTTTTGGGCAAACCCAGTATGTGATCTTTTAATTCCTAATGATCCCCACAGAGCTGAGGCAGTACACAAGGGTTATTCATGGACCCTTTAAACCTAACTTTCTCTTTGCAAGCTCGATCCAAAATCATTTCCACAGTAGTGTACTCTGTAGGGTATTCCCTAGCCTCACATGTCACATTGACTTTAAACCTTTCTACTTCTAAAGAAAATAATTGTTCTAAGTGAATGGTGGTATATCAGAATATATTTCTGAGTGCTTAGCAGTATCTATCTTACAATGCCAATTCCATTTGATTATTCTGATTTGGCAATTCACATGGAATCCCTAATTATGGATTATCTTTTCAAATACTTTTGATATTTTCTTCACATAGATGTAAAATAAAATATATTTTAATGTCTTACAGTAGAAAAATGGTAAATTAACACCTTATTACATGACACATAAAAAATGCATCATGTACAATGTTCTAGAAGCAAATTTCAGGAGCATCTATGGCTTAGATTATCTGTATAAATGGTCACATGTATTATGGTTTGCAAACCAAGAGAGTATAAAGGATCCTATTAGGTTGGACAAAAAGTTTTTCTAATTACTTTTAATGGCAAAACCTGCAATTGCTTTTGTACCAACCTAATATTACATTTGAATTCTCTCTTCTGTGTTGCTCTTTATAAGCAAATAATGTTTAATATTTTAGAGTTTTACATCTCTGAGCTTATATGTTCACTGTCATGCCTTCCAAATCTATAGTTACATCTATTAGGTGTTTTTAAAGCTATATTGATTTTTTTCTATTTTATAATGAAATGAGGTTGTATCTGGGGGAAATGATCTTTCTATATATTTTATTCTAATTTATTTGAAACCACCTCACATACAAAAAAATGAAAACTTTTAAATGACTCCAAGGTCACTTGTTACACAAAAAAACATTTTTCATTAAAAAATAAGACCTGACATTTAACCTGTAGTAATTAGGAAATAAATCTTATGTGATTATATTTAGAAAAACTAATGGTACATATTTTTGAAAGACAATACTTTGTAATTCTTAATGTTGTCAAAAAAATTCTCATGCCTTCTTTTTTCTATTTTATGTGAGGTGATAAATTAAGGTGAGAATGATAAATTGGGAAGAGAAAGAAGGAAGAGTCACGTAGTTGAAAAATTGTTAAATTCATTTGAAATAAAAAACTCTGCTAAAAATGGTAGGAGTTAAGTCAAATTGCTCTTTTCATATATGCTTAGTATATAAATGCTGAGGGATATTATTATGTAATTGTAGTAATTCAGTCAGCTTACAGGGTCATTTTTTATTTCATTCAAATCTTGAAATGATTATTTAGGCTTCTGTAATTTCATGGATAGATAGTTGCTGCTTTTCTTTGTTGGCTAGATGATCTGATAAAGTTCAGCTCAAACTTTTGAAATTTGCAAAAATATGACATGTAGCTTTTGTATTTATTTTTTGTAAAACCTGGAAAGTGTTGGCAGAAAGTAGAGGGTTTGAAGATACTTTGAGATCTTTACATTACTACAGACAGTATGTCACAAAAATAATTTATTTATGCTTTATTCACTTATTATTGTTAAACAAGGCATGATATGACCTTAGTTTGTCTTCCTGAACTTTTGAGCCAAATTTCTAAAGCTTGGCATGACAAGTATACTTGAAATAAACATCACTTACATGTGCAAATCAGTTAATTGCTCACACAGCTACCTACCAATTAGTCACTTATTGATGCAATTAGGTAGATGTACAGCTAATTTGGGGTAAAGAAAAAAAGTCTCAGTTCAGAATGACAGTCTAAAATGTAGCTTATTCATTATGTTAACTTAGTATAAGAAATTTTCATGCTCAGGCAAATATAGTCAGCCCTTCTCATCAGTAGATTCCATAGAC